ATAAGTTGTAAATCAAAAGAGGTGATATAGGTAAGCATGCTGTGAAAATTCTTTAGCATCATACATTTTCCTTAGCTTTGTATCAGAATGAAACTTGCTTAGGCCTGGGGATTCTGTGAAGAAAGGAGCTTATTAATGCTCCTGAAGACTGTCCCTCCCAAGCCTTTGCCTTGACAGGAGCTAGAAGTAGGGTCCTAGAATGATAATAAGCACTTGTTATGCTCAGAAGGTTGCAGCATCACAAATGATTATTCACAGTGTATGTTACCTTGCCCCTGTGAGGACTTGTGTTTTCATGTCTACATTTCGCTAGAGAGAGGGGCCCATAAAATAAATTTTCCTAGTTCGTTTTGAGAGGTCCAGACAGGACATACTCATTTATAAATTCATATTTCAGTTTTCATTGACTTCTCTTTGGAAATTATAAGTTTCTGTGGCCCTTTATTTAGAGATTGAACAAACTTGTATTTGTCAGTTTTGGACTTACATCATTGCCACTGTCTTAATTTGGGTTCTGACTGTGTCTTACCTAGATTCTAATCTCAGCTTTCTAAGGTTTCTGCTACCATTGTCTCTTCATTCCGGGGTGCTACCAAATTCCTAGCCTTAAAATACATGTGTGATACATAACTCTAAAGAGAAGAATTGCCCTGGCTTTTATAATGCTTTATAGGATAGTGTCCCAGCGTGTTAGTTTCGTTGTCTGGGCCTGTATGTTAGAAAGTATATTCTGCAGAGAATAGCTTTAAATCCTAAAATATAAATGGCTCAAACAAGAAAGAAGTTGATTTCTATCTTACATAGAAGAAGATCAGAGACCAGCAGGCCAGGGTTTGCAGCTCCATAGTCTTCAGCTCATTCTGTTGTGTTGCTCTGCAGAGTAGTTAACACCTTGACCTGTGGCCTCTAGGACCAAGATGAGTGCTCACGGTCCAGCTATCAAATCCACATTTCAGCCAGCAGGACTGAGAAGCGGGAGATGGCTGGGCCTCTGCCCTGTAAGAATACTACTGGAAGTCATTAACAACACTCTTTCCCCTGCATCTTGTTGCCTAAAATGTAGACATGCAGAGATGTGGCTGAAGGAGGTGGCCTTTTAACTAGGCGACAGTATGCCCAGCTGAAAATTGGAGTTCTTATTACCAGGAAAGAAGAGACTGGATAATTGGGCAGTAACTAGTCCCTGCCACAAGGCCATTCTACCAGACTTATTTTCCCCCTGTTCTAGTCCGTCCCCACCCAGCACTGTATCCCCAGCCTGTTAATAGTTACAGTAAATCTTTTACTGGGCCTTTACCATGACAAGCCCACTCACAGATCTAGGCCTTTCACAAGTTCTGGCCTTTGTCTGGAATGGCCTTTAACTTCCTTATTTGTCTTTGAAACTTCTATATCTATATATCCTTCAAGCCCCAAGTCACTTCCTCTATGAATTTTCTTCATTAACAGCGACAGACCATTACACCTTACTTGTGCATATAGCAGTGTGGTGCACTGGAAGAGTTTCATGGATTTAGTAGTTGAATGGCCTTGGGTTTGCATATCCTCTCTCCAGCTTGGGCTGGAAAGTTTCCCAGTATATGAATTTTATGTAAAGTCACAGCCCAGGTCTGCCTTCTGAGTTCCAGACCTTCATTTTAAACTGCTTACTCAGTTTCTTCACTTGAAGTTCTCATAGGTGGCCTCTCCAATAGAACCACCTCCGAAAAGAATTAGTGATCTTTACCCCTTCCTCTAGTCTTTCCTGTGCCATAAGTGATGCCACTGTCAACGTAGTTGCTGGTATCAGAAGTCTGAAAATCCTTGACTTATTTAATAATCCTTAAGCTCTCCTAGGTAACTATCACTAAGTCTATCAGTTCAACTCCAAAATATATCTTAGTTCTATTTCCAATACCTGCATCACAGCTCCATCCTCTCACGTCTAGACTATTGCAGTAGCTTTTAACTGGTCTCCCTACACCTACTCTTAGTCTGCTCTTACCTTGCCCTGGGCTGTGTCACGCTCTTGCACAGAATCCTTTCCTATCTTGCCGTGGTACTAACATTCTGGCTTTTTATATTCTGCAAGGCCCACACCTGACTTGGCACCCATCTACCTCTTGTTCTCATCTCTAGCCATGCCTATTCTTGCTCACTGTGCTCCAGCTGTGCCTTATGGTTGTCTTTCTGGTCCTTGATTGTGTAAAGAAATTCCTGACTTTGCCCTTTCCTGTATGCCGTTCCTATCCTGAAAGTCTCATTCTCCTCTTCACTCTTGTATACACTGTCTTCATGTCTCAATTTAAATTCTTTCCCTGATCTCTTAACATAAATCATATGTTCTTTCCCCCATCTTTTTGGGATCGTTCTTTCCTTCTCAGCATTTATCATGGTTTATAATTTTTATTTTTGAAGCAGGTTCTCACTCTGTTGCTAAGGCTAGAGTGCAGTGGCACGATCCTGACTCATTGCAGCCTCTACCGCCTGGGCTGAAGTGATTCTCCCTTCTCAACCTCCCAAGTAGCTGGGACCACAGTTGTACACCACCACACCTGGCAAATTTTTTTGTAGAAACAGGGTTTCGTCATGTTGCACAGGCTGGCCTTGAACTTCTGGGTTGAAGTGATCCTCCCACTTCAGCCTCCCAAAGTGCTGGGATTACTGGCATGAGCCACCTGTCCAGCCTATGACTGTATATTTATTCAGTTATAATTTTATAATATTCCCTCATTAGTCTATATGTTTCATAAGGACTGCGATCATATTTCTTTTACTTAACACTGAATCCTCAATGCCCAGTGTTCAATAAATACACACGGAATAAGTGAGTAATAAATGATCTTGTAATTAAACAATGTAGTAGATTCTCATTAAATTGACAACTTTGCTTTTTTTTTTGAGGCAGGTTCTTGCTTTTTTGCCCAGGCTGTAGTGCAGTGGCTCAGTCCCGGCTCACTGCAGCCTTGCATTCCCAGGCTCAGGTGATCTTCCTTCCTCAGCCTCCTAAGTAGCTGGGACTATAGGCAAGTGCTGCCATGTCCAACTAAATTTTATATTTTTAGTAAAGACAGGGTTTTGCCATGTTGCCCAGACTGATCTTTAACTCCTAGGCTCTAGTGATCTTTCTGCCTTGGCCTCCCAAAGCACTGTGATTACAGGCATGAGCTACCCAAACCAGCCGACAACTTTACTATTGAGTGTGGCAAGACATGGTTGTTGGAAATGTATGAAGGCGATTCACCTCTACAGCCTGGCATTGTGTTTCTTTATATGCATTGGCCATTACCTATGATTCTCAACTGTAAGGCAACAAACCTTGGTTTCATTTATTAGAATGTAACGTTAGCCTCATTTCTGCCAAGATATCCTTTTGAATATAGAACCTGAAAAGGTCTAATACCTGAAAATCATGATTGGGCCCACTTCCATGGCTTGCCCTCTCTCTTTAGATGTAATTTGGCATAATGTTTTGAACAGTCGACTTGCTGTTGTTGGGATGGAATCTGAGGTAACAGTCATTTTAAATGGAGCCATCTTAAATGATCACTTAATGATCACTTTCAGTGATCGTCACAGAAAGCTGTTTGCCCAGGTTAGGCTGCCTTGGAAGAACCAGTCCTCTCACTACACTATCTTGATTGCTAGCTTTATAGACAAAAACAGTTGTCAAATATCTAAATAGAGGATACTTATTAGTGGTAATTCCACCCTTCGATTTTTCCTCAGTTACCTTGTTCTGCAGCGTACATTGGCGAGATATGTTATGGAACAAACAGATCAACAACTTGTGTGGTTTTTTTTCCTCTCTATGATTATAAAAAAATCTGATGATTTTGGAATCCTGAATTATGGGTTTAAGAGAAAAGATGCACCTTGCTGATGTCCTCTTTTACTGATAGGGCAGTCTACAATAGAAAAGTTTGTGTTTGCTTTTTCTTTTTCAAAAACAATGAGGATTCTGCATTTAGAAGGCACTTCAGTAGGTAGATTTCAACATAAATGGAAAAGCGAAGTTGATCGTTCTTAAACCCTGGTAGGTCAGATCATGTCAGTGTTTCCAGAGTACGCCCAGAATGGTAAAAGTTGGCTTTAAGCTGAGTTTTTGCTAAAAGGCAGCCAGTCCTGAAAAGGATTGATTTATTTATTTTGGCCTTGGCAACATCTAACTGATGATAAGTGCAAGTTTCTCTTAGCTTTCTGGAGAGGCTCCCATGTAAATTGGTTGTGACCCCTAGAATCTAGAATCTCTAACATAGTTGGATAGAATATTTTGTGGGGAAATCTAATGTAACAAGTAAAGATTCAAAATTTTAAATGTTCAGAAGTGTGTAATTTGCTGCTTTTGTTCATGAGTGTTTTTAATACTTCTGGTAGAGAGCCTAACTGCCTCTTTCCTGGGGAGATGTGGTTTCAGTTTCTTGGGTGAATGTGCATTTTATAAGTTTTTTAAGAAAGGAAATTAAACATTAAAAGACTTTAAGTACTTTACTCTTTATATAATGTCACTAAGAAAAAGCCAGGAAAATCAGGGTTGGGTTTATTTATTTATTTATTTAATAAATATAATCTATTTTCCACCATTTTGTTTGTTATGGCTGGTACCAAAGTACTTTTAAAAGTTAACATTTATTATGATTTTGGTTTATTTCAGCAGATGTGCATAATAAATTAACCTATCTATTCTTTGTTTTGGGCTGGGGCAGCATTTAACATCTAGTTTTTTGGCATTTTGACACACAGGCGATTTAGTTTAATTCAACCCTTGTATAGTATTTAGTATGTGAATAATGTTAAGTAGATAAAATGTGGTCTGCTGAGGCTAAGTGTTCAGTCTGAATATAATACAGATATGTGACAGGTCACCTAACCACTGGGGGCCTGGGGTTCTTCTGTAAAGTGAGTATTTTGGGGTAACTGGTATCCAAGCATCTTTCTAGATCTGAATTTTAAAATCCCATGAATTGCTGTGCATCTAGTTTATGCCTCCTCTTCTCTCTTTTTTTCTCTTTTTAATATAGGAAAAGAGGATGGTGATGCACCGGTTACAAAAGATGAGACCACCTGCATTTCACAAGACACAAGAGCTTTACCAGAGAAATCCCTGCAAAGATCAGCAAAGGTCATTGCCTGCATATTTTCTCCATGTGTCCAAATGGCTGTCACCTGGGCTCCTTGTTGAAGATCTCCTGTGATTCAGTCAGGGCTGTAGTTGGTCTGTTAATCAGAAAAGTTGGTGAGAGCGGAGAACCATAAAGAGTGAATTAAAAAAACCAAAAGACTTTAAACATATAAATACAAACCCATCTGTCTGCCTTTGGATAAGGGATAAAAGCCTTTTCTTTGAACGTGGGTGTGTTGATTGGAGTTCTGTGTTGTCTTTCTTGCTTAAACCACACTTGTAATGCAGCATTTATCACTTCCAGTTTTGGTGGAGTGAGAATCTAGACACTGGAGAAGCAGTATGAATATAGACTCTCTTCAGATTTATGCAGTTTTGCTCCAATTTTTTTTTTCATTGTTACCATGCCCATACCTAGTTGAAAAATAATTTTTAATGTCTTTTTTAGTTTTTCCAAAGTATTCAATTTAGTTACAGAAACAATTGTTTTTATATTCCTATTTCACTGTTTTGCACAATTCACTTGTATTCTTTAATTATATAAGCTAGTGTAATTTTCAGATGTGGGATGAAACACAGCTGACTTTTTTTTTGAGACAGAGTTTCGCTGTTGTTGCGCAAGCTGGAGTGCGATGGTGTGATCTTAGCTCACTGCAACCTCTGCCTGCTAGGTTCAGGCAATTCTGCTTCAGCCTCCCAAGTAGCCGGGATTAAAAGTATGCACCACCACACCTGGCTCTTTTTTTTTTTTTTTTTTTTTTTTTAAGTAGAAACAGCATTTCACCATGTTGGCCAGGCTGGTCTCAAACTCTTGACCTCGCGATTCACCTGCTTCGGCCTCCCAAGGTGCTGGGATTATAAGTGTGAGCCACCATGCCTGGCCAAACACAGCTGACTTCTAACTGTGCAAATAACTCATAATAGCAGAAATGGTGCAAGGGCAAAGTGTAAAGTGGCACAATGGCATAAAGCTTTATGTTCCAGAGGCCTCCATCGGTGTGTTTCATCTGGGAATACAGTGTGCTTACTCCACCCAGCAAGTTGGTTAATACAGTATTTCTCCTGAGTACTGACATGAGGAATTTCTAAATTATACTTTATATATTTGAGTACTAACTGTGCTCCAGGCAGCATGCTAGGTGTGGGAGATTAGAATGAATGAAAAGCCTGGGGATGGATCTGGCTCACAGACCTGTTTGTTTGACCTGTGTAGTATTTAAAAATTTTGATTTCATGGCTTTCATCAATAAAAGAGTTGGCGGTGGGTGGGGGTGGGGGTGTTCACATTAAAAATTAGACTTTTGGCTTCTCTTGTTGAAACAAAACATTTGGTAACATGGGGCCAAATTCCTAAATCACTTTAGTCAAAGCTGAGTAGAGGCAACCTTCTCTCTATGGAACCTGTGTTCTGTGATTTGCTCCTGCCCTCCGAACTTGTTTTCCCTCTCCCTCCTCCCGCTCTCCTTTTCTTTTGGATAATGTTTTTTAATGGGTTCAACCTAAAATTGCAAGGCAAAACAGCTCTTGGCTGCAAAGCTTATGCTATGGTAGAGTCATTTCCATGACAATTAACATTATATGAATTGCAAGTAGTGTAGTAATGTCAGCTTACTTTATACATTTCCATGCTGTCAAACATTAAAACAAGAAGCAAGAATGTCCAGTTGAGAAAAGATGGGATAGACCTTTTTTTTTCTTGCTCCTCTCACTGAGTATAACTGTAAACCCTAGAAAAAACAAGAGGCAACTAAAGGAGAATTCTGAAAGGTGAAGAGAGGAAGGTGAACTAGTTACGCCAGTATTAGAGAAACATCATGACAGCAGGGACCTCACAACCCCCAACCAATTACAGCAGCAACAGAAGGTGGCCCAGGCCCAGTTTCTGAATGCCAACCTAGCAATAGAGGGTAGCCCAACTAGACGCATTCTTACTCACTCAGATCTGACAGAAATCCTTCCAGTAATGCCAGGGAATCCCAAGAACACCTTTAAAGAGCCCTAATGATAATAGGTGGTTAAGAGACTGGCTTTCCTTCCTCCCTGGACCTGCAACTTTTCTTCCCCACCAGGAGATATCAGATATCTAAGTGACTCCAACAAGAAGAATTCTAGAAGTGGCCCAGCCCAGGAAGGCTCTTCCTGTGAGGCTGAGACTATCATCATCCCAGAGGCACTGAACATCCAGAAACACTGGATATCTACCTAGAAAACACCAGGAAAGGGGGTCTGGCCACAACTAGCAGTCAAGTATGAGAAGCCCCCTTGTCTCACAGGCAAGAGATCTTCCCTCCCTCACCCAGAGACACCAGCAGCCAGGTGGCATTAGCAAGGGAGATCTGGTCATAATGAGTGTATGGTCCAGGAAGCCTCTTTATCCTTATAGGCCAGAGACTTCCCTCTCCCACTCAGAAACACTGGGCAATGAGGAAGCACCAGTAAAAGAGATCTGCCACAACAAGAAACTGCAAATGGGAAGCCTCTTTGTCCTTGCAGGCTGGAGATTGCTATTCCATACTTGGGGAATTTCCTTCCACTCACATAGGTAGCACCAGTAGAGACCAGCGGGAGCCCCAGTGATATCATAGAAACCAAACTTACCAAGATAGCAAAGCCTATTTTCCAAGGAAATTGTCATTGAAACTACAGCCCACAAAAGTAGGTCAGGACCTGCATGCTAAACCTCTAAAGAGTATGTGACTGCCTTCTAAAATAAAAGATTTAAATGAGACCCAGAGTGTCTTAACGCGATAACCAAAAGGTCCAGGATACAAATTGGAAATCACCCATCATACCAAGAGCCAGGAAGGTTACAACATGAGTGAGAAGACAATCACCTGATGCCAACATTGAGTTCTTGCAGTTTTCTAACAATGATTTCAAAACAGCCATCGTAAAAGTACTTCAATAAGCAAGTGCTTCATAAGATTTAGAAATTATAAAAAAGCCGGGCATGGTGGCTCACGCCTGTAATCCCAGAACTTTGGGAGGCCAAGGTGGGAGGATCACCTGAGGTCAGGAGTTCGAGACCAGTCTGGCCAACATGGCGAAACCCCAGCTCTACTAAAAAAATACAAAAATTATCTGGATGTGGTGGCACGTGCCTGTAGTCCCAGCTACTTGGGAGGCTGAGACAGGAGAATTGCTTCAACCCAGGAGGCTGAGGTTGCAGTGAGCTGAGATTGTGCCACTGTACTCCAGCCTGGGTGACAGAGCAAGACTGTCTCAAAAAAATTAAAAAAAGAAAAATAAAAAGGACCAAATGGGAATTATGGTATTGAAAAGCATAATAACAGAAATAAAAACACCATTGGATGGACTCATTAGTAGAGATGACACAGCAGAGAACCAGCGAACTTTAGGACAGATCAGTAGAATTTAGCCAATCTGGACAAAGAGACTGTAGACTGTAAAAAATTGAACAGAGCCTCAGGGAGTTGTGGGACAACAAAAAGATTGAACATTCAGACAACTGGAGCCCCAGAGAAGATCAAGAGAGTAAAGATGAACGTAGAGATTGCGCAGAATGGGGACAGGTAAAAATATATCTTCAGAGAATTTATGGTTCTAGTAAAAGTTGTATAACAATATATAATGCTATCCATCTGTACAATTGTAATTTCTTTTCTGATCAACTCTATACCTTGCGTTGAAGGTTAGAGAATACCAGTGGCTGGAATGTTCCAGGACTGAGGGTTTTTAGGGTGGGTTAGTGAAGGACCAGATGATAAGGGATTTGACAGCGTGGGTAAGAGGACTTGAGGTGATAGAATATGGTGGCTCAGGGCTGGGTGTGGTGGCTCACGCCTGTAATCTCAGCATTCTGGGAGGCCGAGGTGGGCAGATCACTTGAGGTCAGGAGTTTGAGACCAGCCAAGACAACATAGTGAAACCCTGTCTCTATTAAATAAACAAAAATTAGCCAGGCGTGGTGACTGGTGATGCCTGTGGTCCCAGATACTCAGGAGGCTGAGGCAGGAGGATTGCTTGAACTTGGGAGGCAGAGGTTGCAGTGAGCCAAGATCACACCACTGCACTTCAGCCTGGGTAACAGAGTGAGACTTTCTTCCAAAAACAAAACAAGGTGTACACACACATACATATGATGGCTCTGGGAAGGGAGAAAAGGATTTGAGACTTAGACATAGCTAACAGACTTGCAGAACAGGCAAGGGTTAAAGGTGCTAGAAGTCTTGATGTGATGAAAAAGCCTGTGGAATGCAGCACTGGAGAGCAAGAGAGCTGTGTGATGGATTAGTCTGAGGGGGGGTGTTGGGATTGGACTAGTGCCAGATGATGCTGAGGTGTGGCCATGAGGATGAGTTGCTGAAATTAAATAGAAGTGAAGGCCACTGGTGTTGAAGACAAGGGAACAGTGAGGATAGGATGTTGACTGTGTCACTCACCTGGATGGACGTAGGAGAGGCAGACTGTAAGCCAGGTTTCACAGAGTAACCAGGAGGCCAGGAGATGACAATAACAGGAATGGGGCCACCTGAACCAGAAGAGGGTGCACATACATGCATGAGGCTAGAAGAGTAAAGGTCTGGACGTGGCAGTGCAGCATGGGAAAACACGGACACCCATTTCAGGGACTGTATATGGGAAAAGGAGATCCTCTTCCCAAGTGGGCTGGGGAGACAGTCCTTAGGACAGATATTTACATGCAAATTACAGTCCTTAGGACAGATATTTACAGCCTTCTTGAAAGAGGGCCCAGCAGTTTGTTTAAAATCGATGTTTTCTCAAGGAAGAAGGAAGAGTTAAAGAAAGTAGAGCATGCTTTGGGCTGGCATGAGGAGACAGGTGCCCTAAGGTGCTTTCCTGTGGCGTAGTAGCTAGGAGTGACCAGGGGAGAGGTGTGGTGCACTCAACTGGTTTGGAGATTTTCTGCAGATGGGCTGAGATGCTACGTGGAGTCAGGGACATACAGAAGAGCAGCAGCCAGCTCAACTGCAGGCTGAATCTTTGCCCAGGGGTCTGGTGGGATGTTGGCAAGTAGCTCTGAGGAAGGAATGAGACTGCAGACTGTCTACAATGGGGAAAGGAAGCAATGCAGGAAGAATGCGTTCCAAGGCTGGGTGAGGGAGAAGATTCACTTTCTCAGAGAATACTTCTCTCTTGATGGAAATAGTATGTATATGTGCTGGAATGGTGGCCTCAATCTTCACCTAGTAAAATTAGAACTTGAGTTTAATCTTGGAAAGAAGGAAGATCAAATATCTCTCCTTTCAGCTGTTGAAGACATAATTAAGAGAAGTAATTTATGTCTAATAACCCTTTGTCTTTTACAAAAAGTACCTACCATGTTGTTCGTGTGAGATACTAATATTGTTCATGTGAGAAAAATATAACGTGGAACAAATACCTGGAGCTATACTTCCCTGCTGGAGTCCAACATGTCTTTCTAAGACACAGGTCACAGGAGGCTGAGGCAGGAGAATTGCCTGAACCCAGGAGGCGGAGGTTGCGGTGAGCCGAGATCGTGCCATTGCTCTCCAGCCTGGGTAACAAGAGCAAAACTCCATCTCAAAAAAAAAAGACACAGGTCATAGTAATAAAAGTGCTTTGATTTAATTCATCCATGTATTGCTTAATTTTTCTTGAGTATATGTGCTTACTAGACACTTGTTGCAACTTAAATATAGATTACTTAGTCACAGATCATCACTGAGAGAGGCATTTATTTTTGACCTAGAAAAACTGACTTACTCTGAAAAACTGCTAGTTCCTGCTAGTTGATCAAATTATATCCTGCTGACCTTTCCCCGAAGTGTCATTCAGTCTGATAAACAACACTGACTATATCTTTGGTGTTTTTAGGTGGTTTACATCTTGGAGAAAAAACATTCTCGAGCAGCAACTGGCTTCCTCAAACTCTTGGCTGATAAGAACAGCGAACTGTTTAGGAAATACGCCCTGTTTTCTCCCTCAGACCACCGAGTGCCTAGAATTTATGTGCCTCTCAAGGACTGTCCCCACGACTTTGTGGCACGGCCTAAAGATTATGCCAACACACTGTTCATCTGCCGCATTGTGGACTGGAAGGAGGACTGCAATTTTGCTTTGGGGTAGGTGATCTCTGGTAGGAAAAACCACAGGTCACAGGCAGAATTCAGTTTAGATGGCCTTTAGGTAAACTTTTGGTGTATTTTAATTATTATTTCTTGATTGAAGCATGGTTTCTGGTGTTATTTTGGTCCTGATTCTTCAGAAGTCACTTTTAACTGCCACCTCAACTGGTTGCCTGTATGTTCCTTGAATTACCAGGCAGTGATGTTCTTGTTTTTGGTTTTTGGCATAAAACATAAGCCATTCTAAGCCTCTACTTATTTAGTTATGTCAAGTGTCCTATTTGTACTTGCGTACCACAGATGATTCATCAAACAACCAGTCCTCTCCTTGCAGAAACTCGTGTTAAACTATGCAAAGTCTAGGCATATTCAGGAAACCCCAGGCTCCTTTGCTTTAAAATATGAACATGAAGGCATATTTAAATGGTATTCTCTTTTGGTATTGATCTTCAAAGATTTTGCCTCTGGCATTAAAAACTACCCTATTGTAAGAAGGAAAAGGGTACCATGCTTTTGTGGAAGCTGTCAGAAATCAATCTAACTTAAATATACATGACATAGTCCAGAGCATCATGGATGGCCACTTCATTTTGAACTAAGAAATGACCCAGTTGTTTCATCAAATGCTATGCCTGTTTTCTTCTTAGAACTGGTATTCATTTTGAAAGAAAAGCAGTAAGTTTCAGCTATGTCGTTAAGTATTATAGATGATGTCTGGTTTATGTTTCACAGGAAATGACTATAAAGGTATACAATCTAGAAAAGAGCCTGTTGATTTACTTTTAGTCTAATTTAATGACTTGCCTGTTGGTCACTCCCTTCTGGGAATATCCTATGGTTAGGAGAGTCAGCACCGAATGGATGGCTACCATGTCCTGCTTTTATCAGGTTTATTCTATACTTAGCTTCTCATGCCTAGCAAAATAAGCCAAATCAAATGTGTGTGTCATATATGAGTGTTTCAATATATAAGAAACATTACCCTGTGCCACTTTTCAGTTACATGAAGATCGGTATGATTTATATGATCTCATAGCTACTTAGAAACAGTTCTACTCTCAAGTGGTGGGATTGCAATGTCATCATTTTTAAGCCTAACTCATTATCCAGAAGTGATGTCAACCCCCTTGAGCCGTAAATAGCCCTTCTTACAAGTTTGCCAGTTTCTCACCATCAAATCAAAAGGCCCAGTAATGACTGTGCCACCTGGTCCCTGTTGATTGTGCAGCCACACTCTGGCAGTGAAAGAGGAAAACTTTCACATCAAACCAGGAAATCCAGCCTTGTCTTTTATCTGCCTTTCTGTCCTATCCCATTGTGCGTATTTGATTGGACTACTTCCTTAGTTTTCAAGTTATAAGGGTGTAGTCAGGAAATCTTCATAGTGTGAGTTTCTCTTATTACTTTCATGGCCTTATCAGTCTTTTTTAAATTTTTATTTTTTACAGCTAAGCCATTACTTCCTCAGGAACCCTTTTCTTGAAGTTAAAATACAACAAAAAGGGAGTCAGGTCTTTGAAGCAACAATCATATTTGCTGGATCTAAAGAAATAATATTTAAAAATGATAGTCACATATTAATCATATAATTTTCCAAAATAAAAAATGAAGATATTTAGATACATCATGCTTTTTCTCTACTTTCTTAACATAAGGATATAAAAATTGTCATCTATGGAAATGTGCCTTTTAAAATCTTTGTGAAAAAGAGAAAATTTATTTTAAGAAATAAAATATGGCAGGTTTTCCTGATGAAGTTCTAGATGACGTCTGTTGTATGAGGGTGAAGCTGCAGCTGTTGCCTATGTTGGTGGTCGCCTTGCCATTTTGTTCTGGTTATCTGTTACTGATCTTTAAGAACTGAGGTCACTGTTTCTTAATCAGAACATGCTGTGCTGTGACTGCCTAGGCTTTCTCCCTTATCTTTGCCAGGCCTTGACCAGGAGTGTGACAGTAATACCTGTTGTGCGTGTGAAAGTGTATGGTTAGCTTCCACATTAACTTTCCCTAAAAATCAACTTTAGCTAAGGTGACTTCCTTCTGAATTTCTTTCCTACTCCTAAACCTCTACCCTTAAAAGTATTGGACTTCTTTGCCTATGTAATTGATTCTAATTATTCAAGTTCAACCTCTTCTGTAGTTAAAGTTAGTTTGCCAGACATGTTTTGATCCAACTATGTGTAAAGTACTATGTTATATTATCTGAGAAGTATGAAGGTAAACAAGCTATGGATGCTTTATTTAAGGAACTTATGGTCTACTGCATAAGGATTTTTGTATATGTATATATCATAGGGATAATTTGATTCTAAAAAGTGGAATCCCACTTCAGCTAACTTAAATAAAAGTAGAGATTAATATAAGAAACTAGTGATTTTTATAAAAACCAGAGCAGGAAATGGAGAAAGTCTCATGAGAAAATCAGAACTAACAAGGCAACAGAAGAACCACAGCTTCTCTTTCACCCCTGCGGCTAGCCAAGCCACCGCACAGTATCTTTTCTTTACTGCCTTTTGCTCGCGAGCTTCTGCTTCTCTCTGCACAGTAGTCTACCTGCTCAACAGCATACATGACCCCAAAATGGCACTGCCAGTCCTGTGGCAGTTACATACTAAAGTCTAAATTATAGTACAGAATTTCTATGGTGGAAAATCTTATTGGTCTAGCTTGAGGCAGGTATTTTCTCTGGTCCATTGTTTCAAGCAGAGATGGGGTCCAGAGTCCTATGCCTCACACCCAATTAGCAGCACTGTGGGACTCTCTGGGAAAGATTGTGGATAAAACAGATGACTTGAATGGCTTATCTCTTTGAGTTCTACCTATAGTATGAAGAGAATGTTGTAAGTTCTTCCATAGGAATAAAATAATTTGGGGGGATTTAGAGAGGCGGTAGGTGAAGGGTTAAATCCAGGATCATTTCTTACAGGACAGAGGCCTCCTTGCTAAAAGATCACTTTGACCAAGAGTAAAGAATAGATGATGAGAAGGGACATGCCTGGCAGCAGGAGGTCGTGATACACTGTTGCAGTAAGACAGATGAGATGGGAGAACCTGAAATAAAGAGTTGCAATGGAGGAAACAAAAGAAATGAGAAGATTCAGGGGAGATTAGAAAGTAAATTCTCCCAGATGTGATGACTGATTAGAAGTGGGGCATGAGGAAGAAGGATGGAATCTTGGATGACCTTTCAGGGCTCTGACTAGGGGGAGTGGGTGGATGCTGATGGCCTTTAACCACAATTCATGGGGAGCAGTCTCAGCTCGTTCCATGGTCTTCACTACCAGAAATCAAACTTGCCATTTCCCGGGCTGACTGTGTATGTTCATAGTTCCAAACTTTTGCACATTACACTTCCTTTCCTAGCAGTGGCTTTCTCCTTTTTCTGGTGTTTGCCTGGTTGAAATACTCAACTTTTAAACTTAATTCAGTTGTCCACTCAAAAGTTCTCTGACTCATAAACCTTTCTTCTCGTGCCCTCATAGCTTCTATTATTACTATTACTTCTATCATAGTACTATTATTATAGCTCTCATCTGTTTGGATTGCAATTGCTTATTTGTTTTACTTGGCCATGAACTCCTTTAGGACAAGGACACGCAGTGAACATTTGCTGGCTGGTCAGATGAGTAGATGGAAATGAATTGATTACCCCAACGTCTTGAGCCAGGTTGACTAGGAGGATGTTGCACCATGAATCAAGCTAGAAAACACACAAGGAGTAATTTGGAACAGAAAATGATGAGAACTAAGGTTCTATAACTTCAAAATGAATACTTGACAATGGTATACAACAAGTAGAAACACTCAGGTGGAGAATGCCAAATTGCGAAGGCACAGATATTTAACAGAAAGATTGAACAGAATGCACACATTAATGGAATATATGATGTTAGAAGCTTTGGAAGGATCTTTAGGGAGGACATTGAGCTTGGCCTCCCCTTTGCTGTAAACATTGCTTCTCTGACACCCTAGTGTTGCCTTGGGGCCACCATTTGGGGGCAGCTCAAAGAGTATTACAACACTGGGGACTTCCAGTTGTTATAAAGTTATTTTCTATCTTGTTCTTAGAATTGTCATGAGAGATCTCGGTTGAACCTTGTTCATCTCTCTGTACCTCACATCTACCACATTTTTATGAATCTTTGTTCTGTAATGCTATCGAAACCCAAGTGAGCCCTTGCTAGCTTTTAGGGAATCACTGCTTTTTGTAATACATCACAACATATTTAGTACCTTTAATATTTAGTACTAGACTCTAGTCCAGGATAATTAAAAAGCCACATTGGCTTCCTTGCTGGAATGATTTGCAATTATATAATCAGATTTACAGTTTTAAGAGCTTCCCAACCCTCCTAAATTATCTTGCCGTTTAGAAACTCTTGCAGTGCAATTCATGCCTATATTTTCTCAGACCTTTGGGAAATTTGGTATCCTAAAGTCTAGAGTTTACAATTCCAGCTTCTCTTTCCAGGATGTCATGAGCGTAGAGATATCATGGTCACTTTCTCCCAGATTTGTCATGGTTTCTTCTTGAATATTTAAGAGTAAATCTTGAATAAAATGGAAAAGTTTTACAGCAGCTACTGTGAGGAACTTAATAGTGTTTCTTGGCAATGTTGAAGGCTAGCTGCAGATATATGACATGAACTGACCTAGAGCAAATTGACATATTTATATTATTTTATCAAGCAAAGTCTGGTGGCTTTGTGGGGTGGAGGAGGAAGAAGGAAATGAATAGGTTAGTACAGGCTAAGAGGTTCTTGGTTGAACATGGGATTGCCTAGGCTTAATGGGAGGCTGTGGAACTGAGAAACAGAGAATGGGTCACAGTGCTGCTGGCTTTAATGAGTGTGAAGGACAGCAGGTTCCATTGGAGCGGATGACGGAGTGAGGTGAAAGTAGAGGAAGGGAAATTCTGACCATGGAGGCCTGTGGGAGGGATGGGAAGTAGCAGGTTCTGGTATCACCTTTGTCTCCTAGCTTTGCACCTTATGGTT